TCATCCTGCATACCCACACCTCTCATCGCGCCATCTTCACGCATCCTCATCCTGCCGCTTCACACCTTCCTTCATTCCTGCCACTCCCACACTCTTCCTCATATCCTGCCATCTTTCACGCGATCATAATCCTGCCATCTCCCACACTCTTCCTTCATTCCTACCATCTGCCTTCTTCATTCCCACGTTTCTCGATCATATATGAAGAATATTTTACTATTATGTTACTATTATATGTTACTATAATATTATGATTTCTTGCTATTGTAACTGTGTTATTTAAATGTTTTTAATGTTTCCTGTTTTAGCCTCTCACATGCTTTCCCCTTGCTCCTGCTGCAATAGTTGTCTCTGATGTGTGAACCTTCAGCTGATAGCACAACAGGTTTTGCTTCCAAACGACTTCCGCCATCTGTGGTAGTCTCGACTCACCTCATCCACTCTCTGTCACCCCTTCCTGCTGTATCCCATCTAAAAAAATATTAAAAAACCAAATAATATAGATAGTAATCAATCACCTTATATCATGACTATCACATTATAATCGCATCATGATTTGCAATTTCACATAAACATTACCGATAACACGAAACGAATAACACATCGTTAACACGGGTAATTATCGCGCGCGCACACAGCCGGTGAGCAGCAAGTACGAGATGCCGAACCTGCGTCTGAGCCAGGCGTCCGGTGCGCACCTGCGTATATGCTCGCTGCTGCTCTCTGCGTACGAGAAGCCTGCCAGACTACCTGCACGCCACCAGCCGGCAGTCCCGACCCCGCACGCAACCTCCGCCCGCCGACTGCACGGACGCTCGACGCATCACGGAATCCATACAGGAGGGTTGGGTGGAGGAGGAGAAGAGATGGGGAGGTGTGGGAGAAGGGAAGTTGTGGTTTGAGGAGGATATAGGAGTAAGCGAGGGGTAAGGGAGGTTGCAGGATCTGTAGGTGTGGCGTGCGGAGTTCGAGCATGCGTGCCGATATGCGTATATATTATATATTTACTGTATTCACTGTACATTCACTGTTATAGTCTATGGCTGGCAATCAATAGGAACAAGCTACATAACCAGTCTACAAGGACCATCTATGATTACAATTTACTGGGACACAATATATTCGCAGGCTACAACGACCCTATATATTCACGGCCATTAGAGAGCGATGGTCTACCCACATTCAGCTATTCTTTCATCATAGTTACTCTAATACCCTCCCCCCCATCCATGCACGTGTCCTTGCGAGTGTGCCTCACCCACTCCGGTGCGCGACAGTGATTCATTCCCATGTGGCGCCACTCACCGTATGTAGGGGGCATGAACGGCGAGCAGCGTGCCGTGGATGGTGACGGCGATGACGGCGAGGTGGAAGTAGTCGTAGAGCACGGGCACGTGGTGGTGCAGGCCCTTGCGCGTGACGAAGTTGAGCCTGAGCGTGCGCGAGCTGACGCTCTGCAGCTGCAGCGACGACAGGTTGTCCTCCGCGCTGAAACGACGACAAGAGAGACAGAGATGCAGAGAACGCCACGTGCGAGCGATCGAGCGGAGGCGGCGTGAACGATCGAGATCGAAATGCGAGCGCGCGCGAGAACAAGCGAGCATCGTGTGGCCGATCACGTGGCGATGCGAAGGGTCGGCGTTAAAATTATGTGCGCGTGTGAACAAGTGAGCATTTGTGCGGCCGATCACGTGGCGATGCGAACGGTCGGTGTTAAAATTATGTGCGCGTGTGAACAAGTGAGCATTTGTGCGGCCGATCACGTGGCGATGCGAACGGTCGGTGTTAAAATTATGCGAGCGCGAGAACGAGAGTGGCGGGATGCGATTGAGAAGATGCGTGTGGAAAGGAGAACAAGTGATCGTCAGTTTGTCGCGATGCCCATTACAATTTTTCGTTTAATTATGACGAACAGCCGACTGAACACGTTCATATCATTTTCAGAGAGAGAGAGAACACGAGTGCCCTTCATTCGACTCACCAGTACTCTTGGTCGGAGAACCACAGATCCAGTACCAGCTGAATGTCTGCCCTATCCAGCCATTCCTCCACCTGCAACACAGACAGTACGTACTGCAGTAATGAACCGCCAGCTGTTACGACGATCCCTGCTGCATCCACGCTGCATCCAACACACCTTACTCTCGCGCAGTGTCATTCACCTATGACCCCTTATATAATATACTAACATGTTCATCTACGAGCCAATAAACCCATGAACTAGTCTATCCCCCTGACACCTATAATTTCACGTTGACCATGACCCCTTATATCAATCCCCACAGTGTACATCACTCATGCCACCCCCTATACCACAACCATGCACTACACCCTATGCTATGTTTTGTGCATGACCGCCACACTAACCCATGCCCTCAATACCCCCATGCTTAACTATGATGACTGTGACCCCCATATACCCTCACACTGACCTACAACCCCACAACCTCTATGCCCCCAGGCTGACCAATGACCACCACAACCCTTTCATCCCCACACTAATCCATGGTTCCCCGAACCCTATACCGCCATGTTGACCCATGACCTCTAGCCCTAAGACCCATATGATCTCACTGACCCCTATGACCTCACTGACCCCTATGACCTCACTGACCCCCTACGACCCCTATAACCTCACCAAAAGTGAATAATAATAGATTGATAATAGATCTATTATTATTCACTCCTGACCTCACTGACTCGCTATGACCCCTATGACCTCACTGACCCCTTATGACCCCTGCGACCTCACTGACCCGGGTCGCGTCGACGAGCAGGTGCACGCGGAACAGCGCGACATCGTTGACGCTGACTTCCTCGTTGCGGTAGAGGATCTGGAACGTCTTGCTGATGACGACGTCATTCTCGACGTACGCCGGCGCCACCAGCTCACCGTCGGCCGCTGCAACACACACCATAGATAAATATGTGACACACTCACGCCCGCGGCGAGAGAGAGAGAGAGAGAGAGAGAGAGAGAGAGAGAGAGAAAGAGAAAGAGAAAGAGCAAGAGCAAGAGCAAGAGCAAGAGCAAGAGCAAGAGCAAGAGC